ACAAGTTTTGACCAAAGCACTTACGCTTATTTCTCAAACAACCTAAATTATGTCACACTGTTCCCCGGCAACGGCACCAATTTTGATGACGTCCAAATCCACTACTATAAAGTAATGGACACGGTCACATGCAATATAATATACCCAACTATGAGTCGGGATCGAATTTCACAGAGAACAATATGTAGGCGATTAGGAATGTAAGAGAATTATCACTAGTTATGCAATGCCAAGCCCTTAGAATTGGTTTTTCAAAATATTTATAACTAAATGCAAAAATATAAACTAAACTAGAAAGCAAGTAAAATGATCAATGGCTACAAGTATGCATACACGGGAAATTACACTCAAGTAACAATCCAATGTATTTCACGATTTTACAAATATGAGTGAGTTTATGTTAATTAGCCACGGGTAATAATTCTATATTAGCTTCTTCCAAAGACTAACAAGACTTCCCAGTTGAATTATCCCTAAATCAATTGCGAGATTAAGCACAACCGGATATGTCTACAAGTAGTTCAATCCTATCCCTGGTTAGAATCTATAAAATGAGGGTTAAAGCCTCAAGTGCTTTTTAATTGATCTTTCCCAACCCCAAATAATATTTTCCAAAATTAATTCGAAATTAATGTGTGAGTCCTAGGGTTAGCTAATCCCTTTATTAAAGAACAAGAATAATTAAAGAAACAATAACTCACTTCATAAAAGGTAAAAAATCATTCAATACATAAGCACAACAAGATATTTAATTCATAATTTAATTATGAATATTTCCATAAACAAGATTCAAGTGTTGGAATAAATACTACACACTTAGATATTCAATACAAGTCAAGGAAATGAAGAAATGAGTAAGAAATTCTTAACCAAAATCTTCAAATCTTCTGTGACGACCCGACCGGTCGTCTTAAGAATTAATGCCCCGATCCCCTATTAACTGCTTTCCCCCAAGTTTATTTCTGCTAATTTGATTTGCCGTGATGTTCGATTTTGAGTTTCGGAGAGTTTTAGGACACTTAGTCCCCAAATGAGAGCTTAAGTATTGGAAAATTGAGCGTAGTCGGAACAGTGTGAAAACGGCCTCGGAATGGAAATCTGATGGTTCCGTTAGCTCTGTTGGGTGATTTTGGGGTTGGGAGCGTGTCTGAATTGTGTTTTGGAGGCTCGTAGCTAATTTAGGCTTGAAATGCCGAAGTTTGAATTTTTGAAGTTTCCGGTCCGATAGTGAGATTTTGATCCGAGGATCGGAATGGAATTCCGGAAGTTGTAGTAGTTCTGTCATGTCATTTGCGATGTGTGTGTAAAATTTCAGGTCATTCGGACGTGGTTTGGTTAGGTTTTTGATCGAAAGTGTATTTTGAGGAAAATTTGGAGTTCTTAGGCTTAAATCCTTGATTAATTTGAGTTTCCACAAGAGAGAATAATTGACCGAAGATGCGATCCCAGTGCCTGGTATCCAATTCTCGCAGATGCGGCCTCGCCCTTCACAAATGCGATAACGCAGATGCGTACAATATTCCGCGGTGTGGAATCACTGAAGGATTTTGTACTTTTGTTACTCTTTTTGCTCAATTCCACTTCAATCGACTTCAAATCTCTCCATGGCATCATTTACCTGAAAATCTAGCAATGCATACCATAAATCACCTCATTTTCTACAAAAACTAAAGAAAAGAGACTAGAATGAGTGATAAAATCACCACTCATCATACCTCGAGAGCGCCCCTGTTGCATATTTACATTTGGGACTATGAGACGGTACCTCAAGAGCGCCCATGTTGCATATTTACTTTTGGAGCCACGAGGCGGTATCTTGGGAGTGCCCAAGTTGTTTACCTCTTTCTACCTTATGATTGTTATTGTGTTGTACCATGTTTCTGCCGTGCTATTGTTAGTATTGACATATGCACATGCGCCGTGACAAGGCAGGCTATATATATGTGGCAAGACAAGGTGGGAATGCTATTATACACGTGCGACGAGACAAGGCCGGCATTTACCTTATTATAGCGCACGTGGCGAGACAAGGTGTGCTATATTGGGAAATGATTTGTGATGACTTGTGATTGCCTGGGGGCATTGTTATTGTTGTTATTTTTATAGCGATGTGCCTACCCTGTGTGAGTTATACTGTGTACATTTCGTGGTGATCGTTTCTTATGTGCCATTCATTGTCTCTACTCTTAGTTGTTGACTTGAATTGTAGTAGAACACTTGCACAAGCATACACGCAAATAAATCACCCATATCGGTTAAGAAGATGAATCATGATGTTATTGACCATTTACATGTACTCCTGTGTACTTGCTTTCTATGTGAGAGTTATCCTGTTGGCACGTGAGTTGACTGTGCAGTCATGAGTCATTATTATTGTTGGCACATGAGCGGTCCATGCAAATATTAGATATTGTCACTCTCTTGGCACGTGAGTCGACCGTGCATTTATGAATTTGTAATGTGAGAATAAGAGGCCAAATGATTAGGGTTAAAGGAATTGAGAGCCATGATTTGTGATTATGAGGTTTGGCACCTCGTGGAAATTCCTGAATGGATCTGGTGCAAAAGCAGTTGTTCTTGCTGAGTTGTTAATTGTTTTCCTTTATTTTGTCTCATTGGACTCAGACTCTGTCCAGCTTACTCTACAGTATTTCTATTAGTTTGCTTCTTGTTGCAAACCGTTGTTTCCGGTGTTTCATTCCGGGTATGGAACCTTACCTCATAGAAGAAGATCTTGTGATTGGCTTCCTTGATTCTTGATGATTGGGCAAAGAATGAATGATTAGAATGCTAGGTTTCCTCCTTCTCTCTCTAAAATGCTCTTACTTCTCTCTCTAAAATGCTCTTACTTCTCTCTAAAATCATCAGGTGGTCGCCCCAAAATAAGCTCCAAAGACATATGAAAATGTCGTCGCCTGTGTTTTGGCTCTGGGGGGGTGGGTCTTCTCTTTCTCAATTATTTGGTACTCGGTTAAGTTGCCATCTAGGTCTCTATCGGGGCGACTTCCAAATTATGGTCTCATTCTTCCCTTCCCTTGATTTGGGTCGGGTTTTAAAAATAAAAAATGGACCATCTGATCTCAACTCTGCGGTCGCAAAATGCACCGCAGATCACGTCTACAGTCCACAAACTTAGACTGCAAAATGGTCCTCAAAAATCTGGGCTAGACTGGTCAGGTCTACGACCGTTCTGCCATCCGCATACCACTTATGCTGCCACAGAATGGATATGTGACCGCAGAATGGGCGCAAAACAAACTTCAAAATTCAACAACTCTCTGCTCAACTCCGTGATGGATATGCGGCCCACAAACCTGTTCTGTGGTCGCAAATTTGACCGCAGAATCACCTTCTCTTTCCAAATATTTCCATCAACAATTTAGTGTATTCTTCAACCCAAAAAGTTTGTACCGCGGCGGGCTTCTACAATCCTCAAAAACGTAAGCCTACCTCAGCACCACGAAATCTTAATTCATTTATGAAATTTTACGTGGCCTTACAGTCAAGAACAGAGAAAGTATGAAAGAAACGGAAGAATGACTATCTCAATTAATTAATTCAAATACATCAATATATTGGTATTTATACACAAGAGAAATAAGAGATGAAAGGAAGTAAAATATCCTATACTAAATGTAAATCCTACAATATATTCCTCCTATATTCAAAAACTAATGCTACACAATATTCTACACTACATGCCGAATATCGCTAATAATATCCCATATATTCACCATATCGAGAATATATTAATGAAGATACTCTACAATTTGTCCATTATGCTAACAAGCACCGTTTGTTTTTAAACATATGAATACACACACACACACGCACACACACACACACACACACACACACACACACACACACACACACACACACACATATATATATATATATATATATATATATATATATATATATATATATTAGTATTATAGTCGGTGGAGGTGATGGCTAACGAAGATGCTTGTGAGTGTCGACTAGAGGCGGTGGTTGGTGGTAATTTTGGTTAATGGTGATGGTTCTGGGTAGTAGCTAGTGGTAATTGGTAGCGATAACGATTATAGTTGAGGATGATAGTGGGTGGTGATAATTAATAATGGTTGGTAATGATGGTAATTGAGGTTGTACTTGATGAAGGTGATGGTGGGGTGGTAGTAGTTTATAATGGTGGGCAGTGTCGGCTAAGGTATTGAAGGTGATAGGGTGATTGGTTGTGATTGTTGAGGTAGGTGAGTGTGTAGTTATGGTTGAGGATGATGGTGGTGGGGGTGGTGGGTAGTGGTAGTGGTGGCGGCTCTGGTTGAGGGTGGTGCGGAGTGTGTGGTTATGGTTGAGGATGATAATGGGTGGGGGGGGGGGGGTAGTGGTGGCGACTCTGGTTAAGGATGGTGTGACGACAACTAGTAATGGATGTATATGATAGCATCTTAATGAAATTAAGTTTTTATTATAGATCTTAATCATACAGACCTATTCAGACCCATTAAGTGATTGTTAAGTAAAAAAAATACTCTTAATGATTAAGATTAGACTTTAAAAACATAACGCACTTAGTGTCTAAGATTTGGATGATTAAGATTGAACCTCCATCAAGTGCATACAAATGAAGCCTAATAAAAGATTCCTAAACTAAACAGCTCCAGAGATGTTCTTCTTTGTCTACCAAACTAAGCAACTAACCAAACTAAGCAACTAACCAAGAGAGTTTAAGCCAACAAAAATATTTTCCAAGTCTTTAATATTTTGCTAGCTAGGGTGAGGGATATTTGAACAGAGATTTAAAAACGATATTCATTTTGAAAATGAAACACATTTTTTCTTTTAATCTAATGCCCACAATACATACTTAAATTGAGACGTCAACCAAAAGGACAAAAATATTTGTTAACTTAATGTATTACCGTAAACTCCTTAACTTGTAACTAAGAGTAACACAATCAGGCAGAATTTTACTATCGAAACTTGTCTTACCAATTTAGTATAACACCACTTCAACACCAAGAAAACCAAGAATCCACGATTAGCTCAAAATATTGAATTTTACATGCTTGAGATTCAGAGAGTAGGGTTTTAACACAAAGAAATGGATTGAGTGGGACAAAAATTCAGATACAACTCAGGAAATGAACTGACATGTAAAACCAGAACGTCATAACTTCATAATATATCCAAATCCATTTTTAGGTGGCTTTTTACAGCTTAGTTTTCCAACAAGCATCACCAAAATAACCAGAAGAACAGAAAAGCCCCTGCTAATCATCTTTAATAATAATAAACTCAACCGCGAACAAGGCTTCGAACAGCAACCTCGACGGTGCAACTAGACTTTAAACTCAACTCCCCGCTTTCCTCTTAGTCCCTCGCTCCCTCCTTGCTCCATCTAACAAGTTGGACAATTCTACAGAGACATTCTTCATACCTGTGCGTGCATCTGGATCCCTTTCCAGACATTTCGCTGCTATAGTCGTGATGCTATTAGCCAACAGCTCATCATCATCATCATTATCTTGGAGAAGTGATTTATCCACTATCGACTTTTTTCCACCTTGGAGCTGCTCCTGAATCCAGCAGTAGTGTGGAGTGGGAATCTTTTTGATTTTGGCAAACAACTCCACAAGTAGAACACCAAACATGTATACATCAGCTTTTAAAGGCTGAACACCACCTTCATGGATCAGAAGCCATAGTAATGTAAAGTCAGGTACTTATTAAACAATAAAAAAGAACGATTTAACACATAAAAATCACATCAACGGTCAGATGATCTCAACTCAAGATTTAGCATATATTTAAGGTAATTTTAACACTCTTGATACCACAACATGAATGAATAACAGTTATTTGTACATCCCATCACTGAGGCAATTGAATAGAGATAGACACTGATGATTCAAAGAGTTTCCACCTGCGAGTTTGACGGAAACCTGAACACAGATTAATATGGCCAAGATAATGGAAATAAGTGGCCCTAGTATAGGTAGGACCTCTCTTGACTGGGACTCTTATATCACCTCTTGGACCAGTCATGAAAACCACTCTCAATCTCCTAATGCTTCAGGAAGAGAGGGAAACACTGTCGTGAGTACGTTGTCATGCGCCTCAGCAAACAGTCAGAAGCTTATCCATGAAAACTGACAACAGAAGACAGCAAACGAATGGTCGCAATCAGGGGTATATGCGCTGGTCCAGGTGGCGTGTGTGGTGACTTTAATATCAAAAGGTTTGCTGCAGAGAGAAGGAACAACAACAGAGTAACAATAACGATGCTAGAATTCTCTGATTATCCAGAGAACAACAACAAAAACATCCCAGTGAATTCTCACAACTGAGGTCTGGGGAGGGCAGGATGGTACGCAACCTTACCCCTACCCTGGAAGGGCAGAGAGGCTGTTTCCGGAAGATCCTCGGCTAAAGAGAAATGCAAGAAGCACCAATAGAAAGTAATAACAATACAAGATATTTAGAAGAACAAAATCCAAGATAACAAAGGGGAAGATGAAAGAAGTACTTATCACAAGTAAGAATAGTGCTCAGATATATAATGATATCAAACTAAAGGGATACTAATGGCAAGTACTAACAATACAAGATATGTGGAAATAGCAAGCTAAGGGTAAAAGGGATACCATACTAACACTAATACTGTTGAACTAACGAAGACAAAAGGAAACGCTCAACTACATACTAACTTTCTACCCTAATTCTCAACCTCCACACCCTCTGTCAAGGGTAATGTACTCAGTAAGATCAAGCTGCACCATTTCCCGCCTGATCACCTATCCCCAAGACTTTTTTCGGCCTACCTACTCCCTTCCTCTTGCCCCCCAAGGCCAACCTCTCACACCTCCTGACGGGGGCATCTGTGTTTCTCCTCTTTAACATGCCCGAACCATTTCAGCCTCGCCTCTCGCATGTTTTCCTCCATAGGGGCCACTCTCACCTTGTCCCTAATAAATTCAATCATAATTCTATCTAACCTCGCATGTCACCCATCCATCTCAACATCCTTATCTCCGCTACTTTCATCTGCTGGACATGGGAGTTCTTAACGGGCCAGCACTCTTTCCTATACAACATAGTCGGTCTAACCACTACCTTGTAGAACTTCCCTTTAAGTCTCAACGGCACATTCCAGAGAACCAGAAACTAATTGCACATTCACACACACACAAAAAAAAAAAAACCTTCTTACTTGGATGCAACTTTCACTTGAGCCAAAGGAGATCTTTAATATCACCTTCACAATTGACAGATTCCTATTCGTCGCCTCTGACAACTCAACTATATTATTGCAATATAAAGAAATCACTCCTACTTCAAATTGAAGAACATGTGAACAAAGGATTTCATCAACATTACGAGTAATTGTGGTACATGGAAGTCCAGATTTCACCCTAGCTAAAAATTAAAGATGCGAAAGGATAAATTGAAGGATGAAATAACACTTCCTTTGGTTTTCTGGAGAACAGAAAGTCTCGGAAAATTGTGATAGAATGCTTGGAGAAGGAACCTAAGCGGAAGATCTCGAATCACGGAAAATTTACAAATGAAACTGAAAGACACTATGAATAAGTACCCAGGAGCCAAAAGTAAAAGTCTGGATGCTTACAACTAAGCAGTTTCCCAAAACATGACCAATGACCATAGAATATATAAGTCGGAAGTAAATGATGAGAAAAAGGAAAATAGCGCCACAATGAAATTCTCAGCTACTACAAAAGATTTACACATATATTAGGCCCACTTACACACTAGAAGATAGCGCCAACAAAACTAACGCAAATGAGTCTTGACTATCCGCAAACTATGTTGCTCGGACTCTCCGAGAATGTTTCCGGGTGCGTGTCGGATTCTCCAAAAGTAGTGTATTTTTGAAGAATCCGACACGGGTGCGGCAGTATTTTGGAGAGTCCGCGCAACATAGTCCGCAAAGGCAACACAAAACGGAGAGCATATGGCAAGGGATACCGGAAAATGGAAAAAAAAAAAGGCTGGTAAGTTGGAATTAACCATACTTCTCCATTGGTGGAAGACTCGCATTTATCAGCAGTGTCCTTCACTCTCTACCGCGTATATCATGTCACCCTTTCCTACCCCCACTGTAAAAGAGACATAATATTTTGAGAAAGGATTTCTTTTGGCATGGTATAACAAAGTAAAGAAAGCCTGCCCCTTGTAAGATGAAGTTGTGTTACAGAAAGCAAGGACCACGAAAAATGGTTGTGAGGTGATTCACACAAGCTGTGAGGCCCACTAAATGGATGTCATCATAGAAAAAATGGCAGGGAAGAAGAATTTACAGAAGATACATATTTGAAGCTTGATCAATGTGCAACTAACATAATTTTCAAGACAAAACTAAATGACTAATTAGTGGGAACGATATTTGAATTCCTCAAAATTCTGGACATATTGCAAGGCTTGACTGATGATGCCGGTATATCTTGCAGGAAAGCCCAAAGCAAAGGAATCTTTTTGATACAATCTTGCTAAAACTCCTTATCTGTAATAACATTCAACTAATCAATTGGCCTCCGAAACAAATAAGGACATCCAATACGTCTCCTCCTAGCATGTGGTCCGTGGTGCTTGATTGACAAAAGAAAACCTATATAAGAGAGCTCTCACTCTATGCAATAGGTGCTACTTACGTGAGAGAGAGATTAACCCCATCTGTCCCCTCCTATTCCTTCACTGCACAATGACAACACACCTCTGATAGATATTCTCAAGCACCTCAGCACTGTCCTTGCTTACATTTAGTGGAATAAACACACACAACATACACACACAGAGAATTCCCAGGTGCTTCAAGGCGACTACAACGGCACTCTGAAGATCAAGCTCAACTGCTACATTTTTACTCCTTTTAGTGTAGAACGAACTGCGTACATCAAGTTGAAACCTAGCTAGATTTCATAGTCCTTATATACCTGATAGTGGACATACTTCCGATGTTTCAGTTTTTGCTTTTGCAGCCTTCTGATGTACTAACAACAGCACCTTCTCTGTGCAGTGTACATCAATAAGATCCATTTTTTAACGATAAGAAAAACACAAATGTCACTGAAGCGCTCTAAATTTAACATGCAGTACATCGGCTTATTAGCAAATAGAGAGAAAATCTCTTCTTTCACAAGTCAAACTAACTGCTTTTGTTAAATGATTATGACATACAGAGTTGGAGCTTACTGGTTCAGATACAACAACAACGACCCAGTATAGTCCCACAAGTGATTACTGGTTCAGATAATAAGCTAATAAAACAGATATGTCATTGACCATAATCACTCACAGCTAAGTTCACTAGCAGTACAGACATTGAACTAAATAAGAAAAAAGAAGTCACAGAGACGCACCGCTTGCATACTCAGGAGAATCTGAGTTGACATGATAAATAAGGGGGTACACCGTTTTATTATCCTCCCTATAGGAGCAAGGTAAATAAAGTCGAACACTTTTATGTTCAAGTCCTGCAAGCCAATTGAACTGTCAATAGTAAAACATCAACAAGTAACTAAGGAGGTCCATAAGGTGTTGTTACCTCGTCAATCATTATGTCAGAAAGATCGATTGCTCGGACAGTAAATTGCTTCTCGTGCAACCAAGCAATGAGGCTTGCAAGTTGAGTAGCCACTTTTATTCTACCACGCAATCGAAAGTCAGTGTCTGCCAAAGGTACAAATGACCCATCAAGAGCATACAGAAGTAGTAATTTTATTTAGCAACAAACTATAGCTTTCTTGAGTAGCTCTAATACCAAAATGAAGCAACACCGACAAAAACATAGTTGGTTTTTCATCATACACAACAGCAAGTGCTTCCTGGAAGCAGAACCCCTTTATCTTCATCAAATTGGGATGCGGGTCTTCACTCGTCAGTATTTCAAGCTCATTCTGCAAATTTTCCAAATAGTTTAGCCACAAATGCTCATATAGAGAGAGAGAAGGGTAGAGAAAGAGAAATGGGATCCAATATAACGATGGTAACATACACAAAATGTGTATGGATGGTCAGCATAGTACTTCTGTCTTGGACAAAAGAAATCCCATGTCTTGATAGTAACTTCTTGCACTTTTACGCCTTTGTCATCGCGAATGACACCTTCGTAAAATCTCCCGTACGTAGTCTTTAGAATATCCCAGTCAAAGTTTTCAATCATATCTTTCAAATCGTCAAATCTGTATGGTTTCGCACCACCCAAGGGTGGTAGAGTCATTCTCCAAAGAGAACTCCTGAAGGAATATATAATCAGTGTTGAGAATTAGCAAATAAAGATCCTCACACTAGTCATCTCCTTATAATTTTGGAACTCATACACGCTAGAAGAAGAAAACAGAGGACATCATCTCACCAATTTTTGAGTAAGATATGCAATTATATATTTGTGAAATTTTTCATTGTTTTCTTTCCTGGGAGTGGTTTAAGTTAAATTTACAAATGGGTCTATAATCGTTAAGGTGATGTGACAAGAATAATTAAAATCCCATTATTATAACCATATAATAGACAAAACCTAAGAAAATTACAGAGCAAAAAAGCCAAAGGAGAAGACAAAAATAACAGAAAAGAAAGAAAAAAAAAAACTAACACAAAAATCAAGAGTATCATAGATTCGTTCAAAGATTTAAGAAAAGTTAAAGCGGACAATTCTGAAGAAGAAAGTGAGAGAGAGAAGCATACTGCATCCGCTCCTGTATTTTCTCGCAAATCACCATAAACGAATCTGCATAGTTGTCCTTCTGAAAATAGAACGGTTCATCGCCCCTTCGCGCCAATTCCTTCCTCAACTTTTCCAGGTTTTCCAGGCGTTCCATTGATTTTGCACTTTGCACTTTCCAGGTTTATTGTATTTTTAACCCATTTTTTCGCTTAACCAATATTAAAAAAATATTTATTACTTTGTTAATTTTTGATGTTACATTTGGAATTATCCCAATTATTTGATTAACCTATTCTATATAAGTAGAATAAATATTGTCTAAATTTTAATAAATAAAATCTCCATTAAATTAAAGGGACTTATATAGTCATCAAATAATTTTTTTATTATGAATTTTTATTAATATATTATCCAATATTTAGTATAATTATATTGTTAATAGAAATTATGACACTTGTCATTATAACATTTCATTGCCTCTCCTATTTTATATATATAGATATAGATATAGATTTATTTGACCCTCCTATTATATATATTATAATACAATATATATATATATATATATATATATATATATATAGATATATAGATATATATAAATAGATTTTTTATTTTTTTATTTTAAAATAATTTTAAAACTCCAATTTGAAACTACTCCCCAATTTAAATTAGTAATTCATTATTTTTTTTAATTTTTTTTATTTTAAAACTCCAACTTGAAACTACTTTCCGATTTGAATGGGTAGTTTTTCTTCTCTTTTTTCGTTTTTTTATTGGTAAATTATTTTTTTCATTTTTTTATTTTGAAATAATTTTTAAAACTCCAATTTGAAACTACTCCCCAATTTGAATTGGTAATTCATTATTTTTTTTAATTTCGTTTTTTTTAAAAAATAATTTTAAAACTCAAACTTGAAACTACTCCCACCCAATTTGAATGGGTAGTTATTTTTTATATATTTATTTTTTGTGGTTTTTATCATATTTAATTATAGGATATCTATATTTATTAATCCAAATAAAGTAACAAATTAATATATATATATATATATATATGGTGATTTTTTATTTTATTTTTGTTTTTTTGTATGTATATTATATATAAATAGATTTTTCATTTTCTTATTTCAAAATTATTTTAAAACTCCAATTTGAAATGGTAATTCATTATTTTTTTAATTTCGTTTTTAATTTTAAAACTCCAACTTGAAACTACTTCCCAATTTGAATGGGTAGTTTTACTTCTTTTTTTTTATTTTTTGTATAGGTAAATTTTTTTTTTTTGCTTTTTATTTTAAAATAATTTTAAAACTCAAACTTGAAACCACTCCCACGAAATTTAAACGGGTAGTTATTTTTTATATATTTATTTTTCTTTTTTAATTATATATTCTCTTATATTAGAAGGGACAGTGAGGAGCCTGTGTCATCAACATCCTTGCCTGGCCCATATCCTCAGCCCCTCTTTGTTGATCAAGTGTTAGATTTTACCCACAAAACCTGATAATTCAGCGGTACTTACGTGGAAGCAGTCAGTCAACTTTTGCCTAAAGCATGTGGGGTCCATTGACACGTGAGAAAATCTATTTGCTTTCTTTCTTTCACCGATTGAAGCTTCTATTTTAAGAGATGGTAAAAATTGATCCATTAAGGAACAGAAAATAAAATCCAGAAAAAAAACAATAAAAAATAAAACACTACTTTCCATATAGATAATAACAAGTTATAAATTTCAAATTTACGAACGAATATACGAATACAAATAAGTGTTTACAATTATAATTATTGGTGAGTACAAAATCAGTAAGTCTCTGATTAAACCATACCAAAAAGGTAAAACTACTATAGTGTCGATGTGAAGAATTCATATTTGTTCTACAAATGTGTAGTTTATGTTTTAAAATAAATATGGATGACAGAGATGAAGAAATGAGCATGTAAAAGATAAGACCCTGACCAAATTATGATTTATTTCCCCCTCAACTAGAAACAAATAACGTACTTAACAGAGGAACATAAAAGCAGAACAACTACGGGAAAACAAAGATTAAAACGGGAAACCCACAAAGCTTTGAAGAAAAGAACAAAGGAGAGAGGAAGCAGGAGGAGAGTTTCAGAAACGGTGGAAGTTTACTGAAGTGCTAAATTCTTCAATTTAATATCTTATCTTTTCATATCTTGATAAGGTGCCTTGAATATTTCATTTCATAACTCTTGCTTTATGTAAGTATTTCAGTATCTACAAATTAGATTTACATTTAAATACTTAGTAACCAGAGGCAGAAGTAAAAATCAATAAAAAAGATATACAATTATCTGTGTAAGGAACAGTAAAATTAAAGAGAATGTAGAGATAAAATGAAAAAGACTATAGCAAGTGATTCAAAAAGGTATAAAATTATGAGTAATAACAAATCCCTCATCCCCTCCCCCAACTTCAGATTTCTTCTTAACAACTTTCCAAACAGTCACGTATTGTGAATAGTTGTTAATAAATTTGTAATCTTTATTATTTGAAATGATGTTTTTTCTACTAATGTTGAACAACAATAATAACATGCTAAATATAAATTTATAAGTGGGGTCCGGGGAGGATAGTTTGTGCGCAAACGTTATTCATACCTTGTGCAGGTAAGACTGTTTTCGATAAACTCTCGAATCAGGTATAATTTCCTAGATTAGCAAGTTCAAGTAATATTCTAGACATTGTTTTCCTATATTAGGGTTTCAATATTTTACATTAATTAGGTGTATATTTATATTACACTTGGTTTTAATTAGTTAACATAATATGATAAACATTGTAATGTATAACAATTTATTTTATAAACAGTTTATTCTTCAATAATTGAGAACAAGTTTATCTATAAAAAATGTAAGTAACTTATTTATTTTGCATATATTTGAAAGAAATAAGAAATGATTAAAGAAAAATATGCATCAAATTTTTTAAATCAATTAAAATTAAAAATATGCCTCTTAGAATGAAACAAGGAAAGTAATTTCTATATTGTTATTCTTCTCTACTACTCGTGTTACCTTGTGACAATATTGCAGCAAAAGAAACTTGATGCAACTTAATTCATCTGGATGATGCTGCTTGCATTAGTCCATTCTGACTAAATATAGAGACAGGGACCGATGTGATTGTTCTTTTGAACAAAATATTTACACATATATATATGTAGTACTTATAGATGTTACTCGAAATAGTTATGTTGTAAGATAGATGCCTAAAAAGTGTCATGAAATTACAGAGAAAGAACCAGGCATGTTTTGGTTTTATCTCATACCCCTCTTGCAATAGCCATTTTTTCTCACGACATATTGTTAATATGAATTTCAATACTTATATTGTATAAAAAAAGGTCGGTGGTTTCATGCATATTTGGTGTATATTGTTTTTGGAGAAACGGGTGCAAGAACACAACATCTCGACCTCAGAGATCTTCGTGAGACAACTTTCACAAATCTTGATGATGGTGTTTGTAATCAGTATACAAATGTTCCTCTTTGAAAGTTGTGAAGTCAACGCGTAGAGGCCTCTTAATTTCCTGTAGCTATTACCTAGAGCTTGATTTAGCTATACTTCTTCCTCAGTCACATTTATGTTTAGGAGTTGCTGAATTGCGTATGCATTCAACGCTAAAACAAGTTATTACGCCTATAAGAGATCATTTCTTTATTAACATAGTTTTATCGGAAGCGATCAAAATTAGTTTATGCAATTTTAGGGACATTGCAGAATATAAGTAGACTCCAGCTAGAGTAAAGATTTATATATCCATACAGACAGGTTTTGAGGGGTTTAACTATATATTAACGCTACCTCATATGCAACCAACTCTTTTAGGTTGAAGACATTTTGAGTTTGGATATGCAATTACATGTAATGACATAATAATTACTGGCTTGAGGATGATGCCAAAGCTCCCATTTTTTTCTCTTGCTTAATATATACTTTATCCAAATTACTTATGACAATTTAGTTGTTCTGTATCTCCAACTATCTTCTGTGATAGTAGTCTTGTAACCATCTACAACTTTAAATAGTGACAGACATAATGAAACTCAAAAACACTAAATCATCGAAAACTTTACGATTTGGCTATGGTTATTGGGCCCGGACACTGCCCGGGCTACTCCCAACTAGTATATGTATATATGGCAGTTTTTTTATTTTATTTTTATTATTTTCGTTTTTTATATGTATATATAAATAGATATTTATTTTTATTTTTAATTTAAAATAATTTTAAAACTCCAATTTGAAACTATTCCCCAATTTGAATTGGTAATTCATTATTTTTTTCGTTTTTTTAATAGGTTAATTTTTTTTTTAAATAATTTAAAAACTCAAACTTGAAACTACTCCCACCCAATTTGAATGGGTAGTTATTTTTTATATATTTATTTTTTGTTATTTTATTATTATATTTAATTATAAGATATCTATATTTATGAAATCCAAATAAAGTAACCAAAATTGAATATCTATTTAAAAAATCCTTTTTTTTCTTTCGTCAAAGAGGTTTAAATACAATTCCAAATATATTGGTTCTGTTCTCCCTTTCCCTATTAATTATATTCTTCACACATTTCAAGTTAAGCTTGAATGTCAAAAATCAATTGATTCTCATACTTTGTAAACAAGATTCAAGATAACTAATTTGCTTTCTTCCTCTCATGGAGACGTTATATGTGAAGCTGTGTTGGTTTTATTCGACTACTGTCATTAATTCCCTCCGCACCCCACCAAACTATTCCCGCAATTATACTTATGAGGTATTACTTATCTATATCTATATATCTATCTATATATATGTATCTATCTATATCTATATTATTATAAAAGCACGAATAATTTATACTAAATGTTTAACGATAAAAATATTCCCGAAATATTGATCGAATTTTATAACCTTTAATATTTATATAATATAAGATTATAATTGTAAATCACCTAAAGTTGGATTTTTTTTCCATTTAAACTATACTTATACCGAACCTAAAAAGTTGATCGTACAAAATCGATTTTCGGTCAATCTCTTCAGAGGCTTAGTTCTTTGGAGTGGAGGATTATTGCAAGACAAACATTTATACATGATGGTGAAGGAGTGCCGAAGGTTATATTATCTAAACATATGGTTAATGTTGCGCATCCACATAT